TATATAGATCACATGGCAGGCAACCCCTTCACTTTATATACACAATATTTCGGCACATTTTCTAAGCAAACTCCTTGCGGAGCTGCTGCCTTTGCGGCATGTTTTCTTTGCCGGATTAAGCGGAAGGCTACAGAAAAAGATTTCAAGCTGCCTTTGTGTATGTCCATGTGTGTGTGCGCATGTGTGTGTAGCTTTAGCTGTTTGCTGTGTGTTTCCACTATTAGAAATTAGTACCATTTTTTTTTGCACATCTCTAAGCTAACTAGCAGCGATGTCGACGTTAAAGTCGACGCGAGCGCCGACGTCAACGTTGACGCGCAGCTTAGCTCTTGTCGCAACAAGCAGCTTAACATGCGCTCAATATCGCGCATGCGTCAGCGCGTACGCTTAACACAGATACAAGTACAAGAACCAGAACACAAACACGACTACGAAAAGCTTTAAGCACAGCTCAATAAGCTTCGGCTTTGCAGCTGAACTTGAAGCAATGATAGTCAAGCTCTAGTTCTAATTGTTGTTCTAGTAGCCAATGCATGAATGGCCCAAGAGCTTTTGCATACACGTAGAAGCTTGTACGAGGAAATACATATATCGTAAAGCTTTGCTCAATGATTGCAGTCTGACATTATGAGATTCAAGCCAGGCCTAAAAGCTTTGCTTTTAGCTGAAGTTGACCCATTTCGTTTCAAAAACGAATACTTTTAGTCATGGCTAAGCAAATGACTTGAATAAAATCAATGATGATATATGTAATAACGAAGTTTTTATCATAGATCGTTACATATGAAGTTAACTCTTAAAATCTTTGAGCTTCATAGCCAAACGCGAAGGCTTCTAGCCATGGCTAAATAATATAAACTCATTATGATTCACCTTAAAATGGAAGCTAATCAAAGAGCTTTAAAAACTGATCGTTAAATATGAATTGGGCTCTTAAAAGCTTTGCTGCTCGTTAAATGTAAATAATACCCTTAAAAGCCTTAATTAATAATAATAAGCCAACACTTTTAGCGATGTCTAAACAAAATCGTATAATTGATCTTAAAAAGTAGGTTTATTATAGAGCATTTATAGCTTTATCTAATTATCATATACAAATATAAAAGAGTTCTTCAAGCGAGCATTGTATTGAAATGGATTTACATAGAAAGCTTTTGAATTATATCCAGAGACAACAGGTCCTCAAAGGCAACAACTGGAATAATCACAAAGCAATCAAGCGTAGAGATAGCCTTAGCTAGTGTTATTTTGGATTAGAAGCAAAACGGCACGATCTTTGCAGTTATATTCTTTCGTTTTGATGATCTGCTACGATCATTTGATTGAACAAGCTGATCCAGTTTTTTTTTTTTTTTTTTGCATTTGTTAGAAATGTATCTAAAGCACTAATGCTGATCTGCTTAAAGGAGTTGTCGCTGCACGTGTAGCAGGACCTACAGCGATCGCATTCTGTGATCTGTGCGATCCTCGCTGGCGCTGACGCTGTCACACGCACCATGACAGTTCCCTGGGCCTGGCCGCGAGGGGTGTTGCCTGTTGGCTAGCCTCGCCTTGGCTTGGCTTACCTTGTTGCACAGGTAGATCCTTTTGCTAGTGACCCTATTCCTATTCCTATTCCTATTCCTCTGCTCTGCTCTGATCTGATCTGGCTCAGTGTTTACTTACACCACTTGAGCTTAACGCGACGGCGCGGCCGGAAGCTGATGAGGGTCGAGAATTTGCTTGAGTTGGGTTTCTTATTTTCTACTCCTTTTTTTCTCCTTGGTTTAGGGTTTTGGGCCTGAGAGCTTTTTTCTCTGCATTTTTTTTTTCTTTTTTTTTTTTTTTTGGGTGATATGCCCAATTTATCACAGGAAATTAGCTGCTATTTAGCAGCGTTGTAGATGCTCGAAAGGAGGGCCACAGGAAGCCTAAAAGGTAGGCGGCCAAATAGCTGCCGCAGCTAAAATCCTCCTCACACTCAAGCAGCAAGCGGGTGTGCCACACACACACACACACACTAACACTCACACACATACACATAGTGCGCGGCAGAGGCAAGTTTCATGTTATTTGGCGTGATAATTTGTGCAATTGTGGATTGCCGAGCAGCAACAAGAGGAGCTGCCCCCTCCCTCTGCCCCTGCCCCTGCCTCGACCTCTTTCTAAGTCCAGGATCACTTTACTGGTTTGCTAGCTCAGCAATCGATGGACAGGGCTGGGCAGAGGGTGGGGTAAGTTTTAGGGTTTTTTTTCTTGCTTTGGGTTTAGGGTTACGGGTTAGGGGTTACAGCTGAGATAACATACGCCAAAGGAAGCGTGAGGCAAGGCGTAGTTAAAAGGATGTGGCGCCATTTTGAAAGAGTGTCATATATATGTTTGTGTATTTAGAGAGAAAGAGAGAGCCAGTGAGGGAGACAGCATGTGCATGTAATTATAATATATATTTTAATTTTATAGTATGTATTACACCATAATGTTCTTGTATATTTATATACATATACTATCAAATCAAAATTGTGTACCCTATATCAAAACATTATGGGATAACCAAAGCATTTTGTGCCCTAAATCTGATAGAAATCATCGACAAATCATAGAGAATAAATTGAATGTTAAAATTCGCAAGAGCTTCATGTAATATTTCAGACACTTTAGATAGGTATTACAATAACAGGCAAGCAGATAAAATTTAACAGACGAATAAGTTTAAGTCGTTTTAGGCAGGTCTTACTGATTCACTGTAAGCAGATTAAATTTCCTTAAATATGTATAGGCAGTGAGAGAGAGAGAGAGAGAGAGAGAGAGAGAGAGAGAGAGACAACGCTACAAAGGTTGACCACAAAAACTACATAGACGATGCTAAGGACTCTACGGAAAAAGCTTATACACACAACTAACTATGCATGTAAAAGGGAAACAGAGACAGAGAGAAAGAGAGAGCACACATTGATGCAGAAGAAATGATGAACGATATATAATATAATTCATAAAGTTTTGGTATTGAGGTTTATTATTATTGCGTTGATTTGGGGTTGGAGGTAAAAGGTGGGGGTTAAAGGCGGGGGCGTGGACTGGGGGTCGGGCAGTTCCTTGTTTTTCATTTTTGTTTTCTTTTGAGTATTATGATAGAATTGGTTGTGATAAATACCTTGAGGTGCCAGCACCTTCCAATTGCTGCCGATCCAATGGCGGATCGAAGATTTGCTCGCGATCCTCTTTTGATAATTCCAAATCGGCGAATTGATCCAGTTCGGAAGCCATCTTTAAAAAAAAACTGTACCTACTGCTTCTGCTGCTTGAATTTGAGTCGCTTTTGCTGCTGCGCTTGTTCTTCTTGTTGCTGTGTTTAGTTTTTCCTTGTAGCTTGCTTTGATGGGATCTGGATCGGGGGCTACTTTGCGCAGGATAATTCTTGAGAGCAC